TCTCTCTCTCTCAACCCTTTCACGAAACACTCCTTACATAAGACGACTGGTGTTTATATTGTAAATACAGTGCAAATGTGTTGGCGATGCATAGAGTATATAACTTACTGTCGAGTGTAGTGTATATTGTATTCAATTTGAGAAATGAAAATCAAATTCAAGTCATTCACATTCTGTGTGGATGTGATTGTGATTCGCAATTAGAGGGACGACTCACAAAACTTTTCATACAATACTATACTATAGTATATACTCTCTCAAGTCATTATGAATTCAATACAAGAATAATCGCATTAATTCCTACGATAGAGAGAGAGAGTGAGAGAGAGAGAGAGAGAGACTTCAAAACAATTACCACTTTAAATACATCAATAAATTTTAATACTAAAATTTTTCGCATTATTTTTAACGATGACTTCTCACTCATTGTTGCTAAATATATTTCTCTTGGCGTAAATAATTCACACTTTACTGAACCCATCAAACGATATGTTTATTCATAAATATAATGAATATATATTCGATAATATTATCCAAAAATATTTGTGTTTCGCATAATAGTGTAATTTAATTAAAATAAAATGTGATTCATGTGTGTTTGGGAGCTGATAGGGGACGGCTAGACATGTATTTGCTATTTGTAAGGGAAAGTTAGCCAACCGTATATAAACAGGCAAATGAATAGGAAATTAATTAAATTTTCAACTTTTTGAATTTTTAATTAATAGCCTTAAAACATATTGCAAATTAACTCTCATTAGCACGTGGTATGCAGTTATTAATTGTAGGATTCTTAATCATCATGTTAAGTTTTAAAATTAATCCATTTAAGAATAATATATAAATTAACTATTTAATTAAAATGTTATTTAAGTTGTATTAAGTATAATATTTTTAAATAGTAGTTTGTATATTATAATATAAAATTTATATCACTGACATTTATGTCTATGGCTAAAAATATAAATAGAAATCTTAATGTTTTAACAGGGTAGTTTTTGTATGTAATATTTATTTATATTAATATTATTATTATTATTGAATTTTTAAAAATATAAAATATACATCCATTAAAATAAATAAAAATTTATATTATATGTTATCATAAAGAATATAAACTTTTTCAACTAAAATCATATTATTTTTCTAGTAACAAATAAGTAGTTTATATGTATTTTGTGAACAAATATAAAGTATATACTGTATAAGATTTACATTCAAAAAAGCAATTCTCTAAGAATTTAAATTCATTTTTATAGCAGTTTTGAAATTTTTTTGTGCATATGGTATAAATATACATTAATGCCAAAAAATCTTAATGTATATTAAAATCTAGTCTTATGTATTCAAATCAAATACATTTTAATACATTTAGACAAATGAAATATACGGTATTCTGTATTTTTTCATGAATGCAATATCAGTCATACTGTATATAATATTATATTATAACTTTATACACTAAAAATAGATATAAAGTTTTTTTTGTGTATAATTTAGTTATAAAATATAAATACACGTATATCCATGGGTTGCGAGGGAAAGGTATGTAAAGCGTAAAGTATACAGTGAAGTGTACTAGATAAGTGTATTAATACATTATTAAAATACATTGTATTAAAGATTTAAAGGTTTTAAAAGATTTTATCCTTCAAAAAACAATTCCGTTTCAATGAATACTATAATGTATTAAAATATCATATACATGTAAATGTCTGGCATACGGTTCCCCATTATGCCAACCCGGGCTCTGTGCGTTCAGCATGATTTGAATATTATCTCTCCCACTATATTATTATTGTATATAAAATGTGTATAGAAATGGCAGGGCTAGGCTAATATGCAAATCGTATGGCAATTGAGAAACTACTTTTTAATAAAATCAAAATATTTTCTTATGTATGAAAATACATACAGAATATTCTGAACGTCTGTTTATATGATAAGAATATTATTTCGAAATATACACAGAATTACGGAATTGTTTTCGCTTATATAAAATGATTATTAAAAATTGTATGTATTAAATACAATGCACTTCCAGATACTATGCCCTAATTTATACGATAGTTTATACTTTAGAAAATATAATTTATTGTATATATTAAAGCATAATAATAAATTACAAATATATTTATGAAATATTCTTATAATTCAATTACAGTTTGAATTTTACATTTAATTTCATTTGTCTTAAATGTACGGCAGGAATACAAATAACTTATAAGTAAAAAATTTCAAAAAATAAATACACTATTAGAATAGCGAATGAATAATAGAGTTAGCAAACATATTTATCATATTATGTATATTTTGTTGTTATAGCAAAAATGTATATATATAACTTATTATGGGAAACACTTACAGTTTTTTGAAAGTTAAATGTTAAGCCAATTGATTGTATTTGGAGTGCAGACACACTACTATAATATATTTATAATATATACGGTACACTGAATATATAAAAAAGCTTTTATATTATTGTATATTGAATATATTTTAAAGAAAATATTCATTAATTTTTCACTTTTACTGAAAGAAAATTGAATACTTTTTTATCGTTTGATTGTTTCGTTTTGATCGAGTATTTGCTGAATATAATCATCAAATATAAACTTTTTAAAAATATTATCCAGAATGTTTTTGTAGTTGATAATTTATTTATTTATTAATGAATATTTTATCATTAATTAGCAATAATTTATATATTTCACTAATGAGTTAGCAAAATTTATTCACTAATTATTTAATAAAAATAATTTAATGCAATATACATGTAATCTTGGTGATAATTATTATGTTTATTAATCATACATCTTTAAAAACTTTTTAAACACTATTTATAGTAATTTATTGTAAACGATAGAAATTACGAGAGAGAGAGAGAGAGAGACCTACAGAATATTCTGTTGCGAAATGCTATACATTAGTGAATCATTGGCTTAACGTATGAATGAATTCTTGATTGAATAGTTTGATAGCATTCTTGAAATAATTCCTATCCGTCTATACTGTCGAAATCACTGGCAATCCATTCACTGGCACTGGTATTCAAGAGCACAGACACACTCACGCACTCAGTCATAGACACACTGACAGCCGGTACCCACCGTACGATTGGTGTGACTCGACGTCTACACAAACCGAGTGATGAGTTTAGAGTGAGAGCACCGGCAGTCGAAAGAGATTGTGTGCCAAAAATATTCTTGTATTTCGGATAGTATTCTGTGTTCCGCCCAAAGACTTACTGTATTGGGCAGACAGCTAAGTGTTGTATATTAGATAGGCATAGAGAGTACTGGTATCTACAGTGAGAGACACTGTATGCTTGTGTGTAGAAAGCATGGAGTGGTCGGAGTGGTAGGCAATCGATGAGAGAATAGTTTCTGAAAAACTACTATTCTTTAAATAAATAGGAATTGCAATGAATATAAAGCTCTCTCTCTCTCTCTCTCTCTCTCTCTCTCTCTCTCGTGATATTCATGTTGTGAGTACAGAATATTTATGAAGGTTGGAATAATTTGTGTTTAAATACACGGAACTACCGGTGCTGTACATAAGATGTGTGTGGGTACTGGTATGCGCTATCATATCGTGCATTAAAAAAGATATTTCTCTGAATAAATATATTGTTATATTAGAAATTCAGACAAACAATGCTCTCTCTCTCTCTCTCTCTCTCTCTTTCTCTCTCTCTCTCTCTTTCTCGTCTCAAAACCTACAAACAAAGCACACAAACCATTGAATGGGAAACACCTTTTTGATGTGTAATTCCGTAGGAATTGAATAAATATTATTGAGTTTAGATTTTTCTGCCGACTCTAACGAACACCACATTATTGGCACTGAATTTAAATTAAATATATTTTTTGTGTTTTTATTTGCTGTGAAGAATGAGTTAGAGATAGAGTTGTAAAGAATATTCTGTTTTATCTCAAAACTTATCAAATATTTTCTGTTTTTTCTGTGAACGCAATGATCGGAAAAATTGAATGAATTGTTTTGGTTTTGGAAGACAAATGGGAATCACGAGAGAGAGAGAGAGAGAGAGAGAGAGAGATTCTGTAACCCTAAACTACAGGGCTATAGAGTATGTATTCAAACACAACCTATTGTTTGGCGATTGCATTGACTCTAGCATTAGATAAGCGTATAAACAATATGTCATAAAACAAGTGATGAAATGAAATGTTAACAAAAAATAACTGTAACCAAAAAATTCATGAATTGTTAATGAATTAAATTTATATTTATGGTATGAATTTACTTTGTGTATGTTTTTTGTTGTGTTTATTTTTTTGAACGGATATTAACTGATATAATAAAAGATACTATGTAAATAAAAATTTTAATTAGTTTTTTTTGCAAAATATTAATAATATTTTTTTTGCATTTTATAGATTTATATTTTAAAAACAACTTTTAATTTTTAATACTAGTTTTTTCGAGTTATTATTTATTTTCTTCCAAAGTTTACTGATATTTATGTCTTTATTTTTGCTAACATTAAGATCTCTCTCTCTCTCTCTCGCTCTCTCGCTCTCTCTCTCTGAAAGAAAAAATCTAATTTTGGCGAAAGTATTACCCAAAAGCCTCCACTCTTTTCATATGAATGCGATTAAAGGAGTGTTTCTTTCTATTTTGTTGGGAATAAAAGGGAAAGGGATGTGAGTGTAGAGTTGAGACACCAGACAAATAATAAAAATACTGCCAACAGATAGAGAAAGTGTTACACAATACACACACAAAAAGTTATTTATTCTGGTATTAAATTCTTTAGAAAAAATATTTTCTCATTTATAACTAGTGCTAAGGAAACGGGAATTTAAACACTTATTTGAGTTTAAAAAAGAAATTTATTTATTCGTGAATTCTCTCTCTCTCTCTCAGAGATTTGTATTATTAAAAGTGATGATTGCTTTATTAACATTAAAATTAAATATATTTATAAAAACTTATTATAAATTCATTTAACGTTTAATAATATAAATTAATATTAATTATATTTCTTTATAATTTATATCCGAGGCATTAGCTGTACGTTCAATATTGGCTTCAACGCGCTTTTCCAGGCCTAACAGTAGACGTTGTGGTGAGTGTTGAAAACTACTCGGCAGTAGTCGTAGGGGACGGTCGGTGTGGACGGTTGTGACGAACCGGTACTCGAGTATGAGATTAATAAGAGTGAGCCTCAGCTCTAGTAACACGAATCGCATAGCAATGCACTGACGGTTACCTAAACTAAAAGGGATGTATGTGTTGGGCACAAGTTTGTCCCGATTGTGGGGCATAAACCTGTAGGGATCGAAAACATTGGGGTTCCTATAATACTGTTCGTAGTGGTGTATCGCATATATTGGGATACTAAACTAAAAGGGATGTATGTGTTGGGCACCAGTTTGTCCCGATTGTGGGGCATAAACCTGTAGGGATCGAAAACATTGGGGTTCCTATAATACTGTTCGTAGTGGTGTATCGCATATATTGGGATATCAACCGTATCGCCCTTACGAATGGTGATACCGGTGTCGCCCAACTCATAGTCGGTTACAGCCATACGTCTCATACGTATGGAAATGGTGTGCAGGCGTTGAGACTCATTGATGACGGCTTCGAGAAAAGGCATCTGTGATATGGACTCGAAGTCTATTTCCTTATCTCCAGTGCCGACACAGCCCTTCACTTCTTCGTATAGTCTTTGCTGATGATTGGGATGTAGGGCTAACTCGTAGGCTATGAATACAAGGGTTGTGGCGATCACTTTGCACCCACTGTTTATGAATACCCAACTGTTGGCCAATGCCTCGTCTTCAGACATATAACTGTCCCCTCTTTTGATGCCTTTCTTAACACCATTTGAACCTAAAGTATGATATGAATTGTAATCACTTTGCACCCACTGTTTATGAATACCCAACTGTTGGCCAATGCCTCGTCTTCAGACATATAACTGTCCCCTCTTTTGATGCCTTTCTTAACACCATTTGAACCTAAAGTATGATATGAATTGTGAAATAAAAGATTACAACAAATTGTTTGTTAAATATTTCACTTTATAATTTATAAAACAAGACACGAATTATTAAATACTATTTTGGTAACCTACTTTATAAATTTAATAATTTTAATAATTTTTAATAATTTAATAAATTTACAAGTTCTACGTACGTACAATAAATTTTAAACTTTATATAACATATAAATCATTTAGAGCCATGCTAATCAAATTGTAAATATAATTTATCTATGAAATTATTTTGTTATAAAACTTACCATTTGTGGCACTTATATTGTGGTCACCAGTGTCCTGACTGTCACTCTCTATGTTATTATTTTCCGCATTTATGGCTAAGTCTATGAAATCGTTGTAATTATTACTCGTATTTCGCTTTCTCTCAGCAATTATATGACGGGTCATCGAAATGAAGTACTCATTGGCCGAGTCCCGCACCGGGTGTTTGACTCCCAGGGCGGTCAGCATATATTTAGGTAATAGTGTGTACAGCAATAGGCGCAGTCGACTCGGAGTGAATGTGTGGGTGGCGTTCACCACAAACTGATTAGCACTCGTATCGGCCCATGGATTCAGTTTAAAGCTATACAAACACGTTGTGACGATATCTGCGGACAATCTGTCGAAGACATCAATGATGTCGACCTCAGTGTAGGG